GGTGGTGCTTCCTTGCCTGTGGCAGATGGGAATTGAACCTTGGCAGCCGAGTTCAATTTTGTGGCAAGAGTCGGCACGCCAAAGGGACCTGCAAACTGCTTCGAGCTCTTCCCATCCTAAACCCTGGACCCTAAAGCCATTTGCAGAGGATCCCCCACCGGCGCTTGTCATCAATGGTGGCTGCGCGCTGGAAATGCCCAGGCCACAGAGTGGGCACTACGCTTCTGGGCTTGGGGCTTAGAGAAAATGTATGGGTATAGATGGCAGTTGTATGGGGACTGTTCTAGGGACATCTACCCCGAAAGTCATCGCAAAACTCACTCCCCCTCAACCGGCAAGACCCAGCAAGACCATGAGCTGGCTCGTTCATTTCGTGTGCCACACTTTGCACTCCCGCACTGCCTTACAACAAGCTCTCTATGTGGAGCCGGGGAGGGGCAGGGGGCAATTGGGAGAAACCCGCCTTTTTGCAGGGTTTTGGCCCTCGCTTGATTTTCTGGCTTCGTCCATTCCCGCTTCCCCTAATTTCTCCCGCTGTGTGCTCGAAGAAGGCTCAAATTCGAGCTCGCTCTTGGTGCGGCGCACATGGTTTGCCTAACAGCACCCCCACCTGGGCTTGGCGCACGGTTTTCCGCGGGCGGAGTAACCGCAGCTTGGGATCCATGCTGGCATAGACGGTCGCGAGTAGAGCTGCACAAGTTGAGCTGCGCAGGCCTGTCAGCTGGCCGGCCAATGCCGTGACGCTGCTTCTGATGGGTGGCACTTTGGTCGGCGTTCAGGGCTTCAAGGGTTTGGGGCAGTTCTTGAAAGAACATGACAATCCGAAAGTTCTAAACCCTTGTAAAAAACACAAAACAAAGAAGACAGACCCGGAGCACACTTTAGGTCGGCAACTCACTCTTTTGGAACCTATGCCTATGCGGACCTCGTAGCCAACCCCTTGGCGTCTCAGCCCAGCTCCCTCTTGTGCTACACATTTGCTCGTTATAGCTGCCGAGATTGATCGAGATTACCATTGCTGCGTGGTTTGGATTGTGATTGCAGTAGCTTTGGGTCGTCAGGAAGGATCCGATCCCAATGCATTTCAAGCTTTCTGACGCAGACCGCATGGGGGCAATGTGGCAACGTACCCAACTCCCTTGCAAACTCCCGAGCCTGAAACCCCTCGACATAAAACCCTCCGCTGCCCCAGGCAAGGACTACTTCCGAAAGCCACACGTCAAGCCCAGCAAGCTCCTGGACGACATGTTTTTTTGGTTCGGTTCGGCGGTTCCCGGTTCCTCTTCACGGGGCCATGGGATGAAGGGGTGGGAGGGGAACCAGGCCAGCAAAACAGGAGTGTGCAAGGTTAAGCGTCTTTTGGGTGCAAGGGTTCGGGGTGTGTGCAGATTGTCCAGGTGTGTGTTGACCACGCGGGGCTCAGGCTCGTGGATGTGGGGTTTGTGCTCGCGAGACAACATAAGCTTTAGGGTCTTGTGCGGTTTTGCTTGGCCCATGAATGACCGAGCAAACAGATCGGCCTGTTGCCCAACACAAAAACCTAGACCCCGTTAGCCCTCCAGCTAGACCGACAAAACCATGGTCCACCCAAAATTCCTCTGTCCAGGCAAGGGCTCTCCAGGGCTCACGAAACCCTAAAGCCAAAACCGAGCCCGTGACTTTTTGGGTTCAACCCTGAGCCAAAAGCAAGACGACACCAAAGTCCCCTAGGTGGGGGGGGGAGGGGGGTTGAGGTTTTGTGATGACCGTATGGCGGAATCTTCGTGATGATGATTGATGATGGGTCAAGGGTGTGGTTTAGGGTTCGGGTAATAGCCGTCACCAAATCGCAAGAGCCACATGTAGTGTATCAAAATCTAGATCTAGGCCATCCGCCCAGCAGCTCTGGTGAGGTATGTGAACGATGCAAAGCACCGCGTATCGACGTTCAACAACACGACTGCACTGCTGTATGTGTCACCTCTCGGCATTTGGACCTAGGAGAAAGCTACGAAGCTCGGGAATTGGAGTTTTTGTTATACTCGACCGGGAGCTGAAAGGTTTATAGTTTGAACAGCTTGTTTCCACTTGGGTCGCAGTTTCAGTATGGGACTTGGTTTGCTTCAGGCCGAACGTCACCGCTCACGTTAATCCAAGCAATCAAGTACGTACTTGTACCAGTTCTAATTGGGTTTGCTGATGGCAGAACCCTAAGCCCTAAATCCCTCAGCCTGAACCCTAACTCGCCTGGCAAACTCTCTTGAAGCATTGGGGACGTTTGCAACCTGTGCGCTCCCAAACCCTGGAACCTGCACCCATGACAACATCGCGAAACCCCTGCCCAAAGTATCCGTAGAACCTCTCATGAATACATCACCACACCCCTACTAAGGAGCCCCCTAAAGAATTCTTGAAGCCAGGCATGAGATGGCCCACATGCCAGCGGCAGAGATCATGATTCATGGCTGCAGGGCGTTTCGGCTTTGGGGTTTTCGGGTCCATATGGTGTTTTTTTTTGTGGTTCAGGTTTTGGGGAGTGGGGGCTTGTGGGCCAGGGGTCGAAGGGCTTAGAGAGGTCCAGGGACATGACTTGATGGCCATTGGCCCATCTTCTTAGATTGGGTTTCCAAGGGCCTTGTTTCGTGATGGGGCTGAAAGCGCGGGAGCGGAGCCCAAAGGCCCTAAGCCTCCTCAACCCCAATCAAACCTCGAGCTCCCCCCTTCTCGAAAGCAAACCCAGGGACATCCTGCTGAAAGATGGCATCTGCGCCCTCATCGCGTGGAAGAGCACCGGCCAATTCCCTCGGGCAAGCTTCCAGGTCGGCGCTTTGGGGGGACGGTCCGACAGCTTGGCTCTGTTTTGTTTAGGAGGTAGACGGCCCAGGCTTCAGCTGCTGGAGCGTTTAGGGTTTAGATGGTTATGTCACGTCGGCTTTGAAACAAGAGTGCCAGGGCTTGGATATCTAAGGGTGCCAGGATCCAAGCCTTTCCGAGTCTAGGATCTTGGGGGGCCCCTACAGTCGGCTTTTCGGGAGCAGGGAGGGGAAGCCCTCAAACTCCCACTTTCCCAGACTTGGGAGGCCCCACAAGAGGGGGTCGTTTGCTCATCAGAGCCTCTGTGCACTGTAAATGTGGGTCGTCTCGCCATATTATGATCTACAGCTCTTCTCTGACGCTTCTGGGGCAACCTTATTTTCGGGGCTGGGGTGACCGAACAGCTCCTATTCTCCTGTGCTTGCCAGACAATCCTGGCGGCTCTGGCGGCCTGCGGCTACCACGCTTGCACCTGGCCTGAGTGACAATTTTCAACAGCCACATATCCAAAGTCCAGGGCTAAACAAGCCTAAAACCCTATGAATATCCCCAAACGCCCTAAGTGCCCCAAGCACCGTAAAGATGCTCTGCCGGGATTCCCGCAGGCCCACAAAAAGGTCCAGGAGTTGTTTCGTTAAGGCCTCTGGGATGAAGAGGCCCTAGGGGGAGCTGCAAAGACCAGACCTTCAAAGGCCCGGGCTTCTGTAGGATCCCAAACTACACTCGGGTTTGGGCCTCAGGGTTTAGGAGTTTTTTGAATTTGAGGGTTTTAACGGTTTTTTGGGATTGCTTTTAGGGTGTTGAAGGGCCTTTTCTGGAACCCGGGCCCTTAACTCTGAACTCAAAAGTGGGGTCAGCACATGCTGCCGATCTGGGGTGCAGGGACTGCACAAGCAGAAACCCTGCGTTGTTGAACCAAAAGCCCCGATCCCTGTAAGCCCGCAAAACCCTCTTATTTGAACCTCTCCAGGCCTGTCATACAAGGCGGACGGGCGTTGGCTTGAGCTCCAGGACCCGTCGCAGGCACGTATCAGAATGCTTGGGGGGGTTCAGGACTTAAGTTTGTGCGCGTGTGGGCTTAATTAGCCGCAACTCTGGAACCCTGACCCGGAACCGACCTTGGCCGTTCCTGTCTCCCTCCGTCTCCCTTTTTTTTTTTTTCTCTCTCTCTCTCTCTCTCTCTCGGTCTCTCTCTTTCTCTCTCTCGCTCTCTGTTTCTCTGTCTGGTTTTCTGAATGTCCTACTGCGGGATCAATCTCTGCAACGAGGGGGGATTCTGGCAACGAAATCAAACCCAACATTGTGCTGTGCAGTCTTTTCTATCTAACTGTTAACTAAACTCCCTCTCTGCAGTGGAAGCGCGTTTACAAGAGGCTTCTCGAGAACCAAGGACGACCTCAGGTGTGTGTTACAAGTCTTTGGTGCATTGTCAAGGTAGCCACGCCAAGCTGCTCCCTTTGCTGCCCAGGTCGCTTCGCCTCTCTCGGGCCGCACGAAGCGTGGCTGGCACGTTGGTCACATGATTCGTCACGTGCACAACCTTACTGCTTCTACCCCCAAACGCCCGCAACAAGTGAAGCTCTGTCCACAGATCCGCTAGGGTGAGGAGTTTATAGGAGGTAAGTCCACAGTTGAGGCACGACCCTTGCGCGTTATGCCAGGATGGACTCCGCCTACGTTTTCCCTTTCACGGAAGGCGAAGCTAGTGGCTCTGCGGAACTTTGGACCCCCAGCCCAAGACACCCCTAACCCTCACACTTCAAGAGCTTCGAATGTCTTTGTTGGCAATATGTTTCAAGAATGGGTCGCATTCTGAGGTCCCAATCTCACATTTCACTCGGATCCACCCAGGTCCACTGGCTCGCAGCACGCTGCCGGTACGCTCGGGGCATCAGTCGCCATCGAGTCCTTCACAGAGGAGTCGGCTCCCGCATTCTTGTGTTCATGTGTATGCTTGGGGAGTCTTGGTTTGTTTTTCAATTGCTTCTGCAAAGCTGAGCTTTTCCTTCCACACCAGCTCTGGCTGCTGCTGTCCCGAGTGCTGAGTGTCCTCCTGCGCTTTTCTCGCTGGAAAGTTGCTCAAGCTGCTCAAGCTGCCATGCGAACTTTATACTGGTTAGTTCATTCCACAATACTTCGTGGCCGCTTGAACCTTGCCACTTATCCTTCAGCAACAGGGGTCACAAGCCAGCCGGCACGGTGGAGCCATGGGAAAAGGCGGCCACAGTGGCGGGCAATCTCGTGCACGTGTACGGGCACGGGCCACGTCTTGTGCCGAACCACAACCTGAGAAAGTTTTTCGCTTTGCCCTGTACTGCAGGTTATATTGTGCACTACGGTGGCCTTCGTGGCACTCCAATGTCTGAGCAGAAGCGCAGGACAGAAAGGGGGCTATGACTTCGCAGCATGTAAGCAGTTATGGACCTTATAGGGCGTCTTAGCCGCGGAAGGCCATGGCTGGATGATGAAAGCATGCTCAGAGCGTGCCTCAGAGCGTGCGGCATCCGGCAGAAGAGCCTCGGTGGTCGTCACAGATGTGGCGGGGAACCCAGACGGAGGCAGCACAGATGACTCTCTAGCTACGATGTTCCAGTCTAACCAAGTCGTAGCATATTTCACAACAATGTTATATGTATGTATATATATATATATATATATATCGAACCAAGAACCTTGTTCCTGTCACCGCCACTGACTCCCCAAAGTGGCGAGGCAGACTTGATTCGCCTTACCAGGATGGGACCTTGATGAACTCGACCCACCAGCTTCCAGCTGCAAACTACAAGGCAAGTTCCGGGAGCATGTGAAATCGCCGGACTTTTGTTGATGCGGCTGCTGACTTGCAGGCCCTCCGACACTGCATGCGGCTGGGTGTTCCAGTTATTCTGGCAACTGGCAAACATCGCGGGCCCTGGTTTCGGCAACTGCTGGATCAGGTGCGCAGATTCTGGATGCTACCCCATTCCCCTCGGCTGCCGCAGTTGCTGCAACATGTGGCCCTGCATAGGTCACTGACGACCAGGTACAGGCTGTGCTCCGAGATTTACAAGAATTTGCAGTGCTTGGCTATGCGGGTGGAGTAGGATCCTGTAAAGCTTGCAGCAAGGCCTCGTCCAACTGGACGCTAAATGCGCCTGGAGTCTTTGTACAAGGGCTGCGCGTATGTGACTCCGCAGGGCAGGCAGGTGCTGTCTGAAATGACAAGTTGGTTCAGAACTTGTAGTCAAGCTTTGGCTCACTCTGAGAGGTCGTGTCCACCACCTTGCTTCCAGCCAGGGTGTTCGATGCCTGTGCTCGCCTAGCAAAGCAAGAAGGGTGGACGCTATTAGCTTACACTGAAACTTGGTTGAAAACAGTTGCACAAGCTACACAGGCATGCTTGACACATCTGTTTTCTCAGCCAAATGCAAGAAACATCAGCCACTCCCTGCCGTCAGGATTCTGATCAGATCATCAGTGACTCAGATGAATGTCCGGACTCACCAACGCGGAAGACAAAGGTCTCCAGTTTGCACGTGCAGCCAAGGCAATCAGATGAGTCCGTTAATCAGTTCCATCAACGCCCTCGGTGAACCGCCTGCTGCCAGACTCAAGATCAATTAAAACCCTTGCACATGTGCAACCTATGCATGTCTGGGGAGCCTGAGGTGCAGCTAGGCTCTGTGGACGACGGCGTCGGAATTCACAAACTTCTTTTTCTTGGAGACCCCTCGATGGAGGAGGCCGCGCTTCCGCATCAGATGCGAAGTTCGTGGCTCAGCTCTGTATGCTCCAGGCTGTCCGAGGCGAGGTGGCGGCAGCCATTGGTGCAGAGGCACTGATGGGCGATGTGCCGCATGTGCCAGCTGCCACGGATCGCGACGACTGCAGGCATCCCTCACCGTGGCCATACCAGGTATGGTTGAGGTGCTGCCAAGGGGAATTTGCAAGGCCGACGGTGTCAGGCCCGCGTTGTGCTGCCGCACCGTACCGGAGAGTCTAGAGTGCTGTACTTGTGCAAAGAAGTACACACGTCCAGGCAAGCATTGCAAATGCTGGATGTTGCTCCTTGCGACGTTCTCGCGCCAGGGCCTTGGTTGGGCCTTTGGCCTGGGGCTTCGCACGAAGGTTCGAGTGATGCGGTCACTGCGGCTTTCTCTTGAGGTTGGGCGATGGCGAGAACGATCTGGAGATGCTTGGAGAGATCCGTAGCCTGGCCATGTGGAGGTGCCTGTGAGAAGTGTGGCTCAACAAGTGGACCCTCAGGTCACAGCGGTGGCATTGCAGCAGCCGTCCAGAATGCACGGCCAATTCTGAAGGAGGTGCCAATGGTGCCAACTGACCTGTCAGGGTGCTTGCAGCTTCTTGGCAGCCGCCAGGTTGCTGAGTACACCGTCGCTTCCTGCGACGAGGCTGCCTGTTACATGTGCTTGGATCATTGGAGCATCGTAGAGCTTGCTTGGGCACAAACTGCGAAACGATTCTGAAACAGTTTTCCAGATATTACGAGTACCTCAACCTATCCACTGTCTCAAAACGATGATCGTTGGAATCTTCTGCAAGGCCGGCTGGGCCCAGGCGGTGGAGCGCTGGGTTCTTGGCATGCCCGACGGCTCCCTGCTTGGGGACGCCTCGGATCTGACTGACTCCGCAGTCTCCCCGCGTGAGAAATAGCATCGGAAAATGCAGCTGAGAGCGTGTTGCTTCCTCGGTCCGCTTCGTCGAGCGGAGCTTGGGGGCCAAATTCTGCCTTCATTGAAACAGGAGCTCCATGGTTGGCAGCCCGATGAGCATGAGCAGCTACGCGCGCAGCATGGACGGACTCAGCACGAACCAGTGGGTGCCATCTCAGGCCGGGACGGGCCCCACCGCATCAGGGATGCTTCGGGATGCTTAGGGGCTCCCACCCTCACCACCCCAAAGCCCTATTTGAACCCTGTGCAGAGGCCTCCACTACATCGGCCCAAGCTCCGAGCCCGTACTACTCTTACGGCTGCTGGGCTTCGGTTACGCTGGGGCCTTCGGGAGTTGCGGGGTCGTGGCTTGAGGGCTTAGACCGTCAAATTTGGGTTCAGGATGGGTTGTCTCTTTATCATCTTTGTCCTTATCGCTCATAGTAGTGGCATGAAGGATTTATGCCCGAGATATCTGTACTTCAACCTCATGGACTCTGCTTCTTGAGGGTCCGGTGCCTTCGTGAGTGCCGAAGCCCTAAACTTCCCTAAACCCTAAACCCCCCCCCTTCGTGAGCCTGCGAGCCCAAAAGCCTTAAGGATGCAGCCACGGATCCATGAAAGTTCCACCGGCCTCCCCGACATCCTCGCCGATGGGGGCCAAGTCGGTGTCGCCTACTTTCAATTCCGCGCGCAGCTACCGATCACTGCAGCTTTCGCCCAAGTCCAGCATGTCCCTGAGCTGGCTTAGAGGGACTTCGTGGGGTTGGCTAAGGAATCCAGAGTGGTTTGTAGTTCCTAGTTCCTAGTAGGGTTCAGCTGTTCACGATCTAACTGTTTTGGGCCCTTCGAAAGCAAAGAGCACAGCAGTGCGGAATTCAGTTCCAATACCTACTCTTTGCTGCCAAGCCCCCTGCCCGCTGGTACATCTGAAAAGCCCGCTGAAGCTTGGGTCAAAGTCACAAGCCGCTTTGTCCCCCGAAGTCTGGCACTGATCTTGAAAACAGGCAGCCAATGCCCGCGCAACCTTAAAGCTAAAGTTCCCCAAGAGGCTTTATTTCTTATGCTGTCCCTGTTTCGAGACGTTTTCTTGTGCCGAATACTGCTTAGTACAAGGTATCTGTTTTATGGGGACCCCAACATTGAAGCCGCTCAGGGCCGCCTATAACGGGGCGGCAGCGTACCCCTCGCAGCTCACGCCGCGATCGAGACAGGTTTGGAACCGCCGGGGCTCGTTGTTGTGCGTTTCGTGCGTTTGCTCCGAAGGCAAAACTGGGGCAACAGGGCGTTGGGGGGTAAACCCTACAAGCATCCCGAAGCCCGAAAGCCTGCTCAGTAAGGTGGGTTTCGAGTTGATGGCTCGCTATAGCTTTGGGAAATCAGGGCTTTGAGAGCTGTTGCTTTCAGGGCTTCAGGCCTTCTAGGGACCCTTGGGGAGTTTGCTTGTGCCGGCTTCTCCTTCTGCCGCTGGTGGCCCTTTTAGTGCCCCTTAGATCCCTTACTCATTCCCGAAGCTTCGGCTTGAGGCTTTGAGGTGGCATTTTCCTTTCGGCTCCGGGCTCCCAATGGATAAGAATAAAGAACGCTTGATTTCTGTAGAGGTTGCTGAACAGGTGCTGAGCAGGCGCCTGCAGCCCCTCAACGAAGCTCGTCATCCCGAATCCCTCTCAACCTTTCTCAACCTTTCAAACCCGAAAAGCCCCCGGAAGTCCCCCCAAAAATAGAACGCCCCTGGCAGGCCAAGCAGTACACGGAGGGTCATCACTTCGCACCGGCCTCCCAGGCGATGCGCCCTGAAACCCCAGAACCCTCAAATCTCCTGAGCTCCACTATATCCCCCTTGGGAATATATTTTTTGTTTATGTAAGACACAAGAGCATATCAACAACAATATGTTTATGAAGGTTCTAAGGGGAGGATAGTCCAAGGGTCTGCGTGTTATATGAGGCTGAATGCCAGTGAGTCGATGTACAGGTCTTAGGGTTCCAGGCTTTCGGAAGTCGTGGAGGTGCTTGGAGCTTTGATCCTCAGGCACTTGAAGGTTCATTGGTGGTACATGAACAGCTAAGGTCATAGCACAGGGTTGCCTTACTCTGATAACTTTGCTTTTTGGGCCCGCGAACACGCTCAGCGAAGCGCTCGGCGTGGCACAAGCTCCTATAGGTCCATAGGTCATAGAGATGCGCAAGTTGGCATGGAAAGCGCAAGCCCGGCGCTGGCAACGGGGTTTTCATGCCATGTACATCTCAAAGGCACTGCACGAGTTCCTCAAGAAAGGATTCGAAATCCAGATTGAGTCTGTGTGTGTGTAGACCTGGGACTTCGACCCGATCAGTGTAAGCTGAAAACCTGGCTTCCCCGCTTTCTGCAGGCATCGATGATGTGGCCGGCCGCGAGTATGCCGCTGATGTTGCCGTGGGTGGCAACCCGATAGGCCGGCTGCAGAAGGGTCAACTTTGCATTTTGCCTCAGCAAACGGTACTAGCATTATCCTAGGCAGGATAAGGGGGACCCTTAGAAGGGAGCCCTTCTTAACCCTCTTCTGGCTCTTTTGAACAGAGATCTTATTCAGAGGGTCCAGAAGTCCCCCTAATCCTATCTCCTACATCATGCGGTAGCATGGTACTTCTTAATGTTCTGCATGCTCAGGGGAGTTCAGCTTTTGGGGGGTTACGGTCAGGTCATTGCTGTTCATTCGACGAGGTAAGGCATGTTACTTCCCTGAAGGCCCTGGCTTTCATTCACAGTTGCCTAGCCGTTTAGGGTTTAGGGCCACGATCGAGGTAAGGCATTCCCTAATCCCTAAACCAAGCCCCATGGTTAAACCATCTCGGTGGTTCCCAAAGGGGGTGCATGGGGGGGGTTCCCATGACAACGACAAAGGAAATTCTTCTTAGTCTTAGGTACCCCTATTTTGGAAATATTTTTGGAGCCGCCCATATCTGAAGCCGGTCTGCTGAACCGACGCAACCCTGATTCACAGGCCTCGGCAGGCCGAATTTTGCCTGAGAAGGGCCCGCACAGTGCCACCCTGCAAGCATGGTCACCAGGCCATTTCTTTCGGGCTTGAGTGGGGGGTTTATGATGGTTTTTTTTGGGTTTAGGTATGACCGGCCTATGAACATGAACCTGAACTGGAACCAAGTCGGGCAGACGCAGGGGATCCTACATGAAGAAGAACGAGTTTTGTACACGGATATGTCAACCCTCCGCACTGAACGTTTGGTTTCCTTCCAGTGCTTCTCTTATCTTCTATATGATTGTTTCCATGGTCTTCATGAAGTCTGACTGTCGGTGGTCAGACAGCAACTAACACGCAAGGTCGTCGGTCTGGCCGGACAGCTGAGGAAGTGTGGGAAAGGGGGTGGTTGGTGCTTGGTCCATGTCTGCAGGGATACGGCGAATACCAGAATCTGTGTCCTCACATCGCCAAGGTGACGCAGTCCTTTTCATGTGCGCGAGTTGTTGTTCACACAGGGTTTAGGTTAGGGTTTAGGGTTTAGGGCTTAGGGCTTAGGGCTTAGGGCTTAGGGCTTAGGGCTTAGGGCTTAGGGCTTAGGGCTTAGGGCTTAGGGCTTAGGGTTTAGGGTTTAGGTATGTGGGCTGTACAAGAAATAACACTGCATCACCTTGGCCGAACTGTCGGCACTTTGCACCTACGCTCTCGCAAAGAGTTGGCGAGATGCATTTTCAGTCGTCTGTTTTAACCAGTGGCATGGTCCAGACCTCCACGTGGGAAGTTTTCCAGCTCCGTGTCCCTGTTTGGCCCTCGCCTTATGCCATATGGTACCATGGCATCCTGACACAACGGGGCCCGCCTGTGAAAGCTTCTTGCACTCAGCCGACCCCGGAATTGTCCATACGTAGCTCGAAGCCTTCAAGCTGCCGCTACGCGCCTATACAAACACACACACACACACACATATATATATATACACACTGGATACACAGTCACACATACATGGTTGTAAGTAAATATCGGCACTTGTATAATCTTCAACACATATAAATACATACATATATATATGTATATGTATAATGTGTTTTGTGTGCTTTTTAGCTTGTCGATGTTCACTTAGAGGACCACATACTTGTACACGTTTGCACTTGCATACTTCTACGCTTCCCGAATTGATCCGCGGCATTTGCCTTTTGTCTGCTCCGTCGCGAAGCTCAGAACGGCCATCATCGAGTTGTGGCTTCAGGTTGAGGGTTCGAGGGCCTAAGTCACAGCTGCAACCTTCGATGCCGCCAAGAATCAAGCAGTTTCAATTACAGTCGGACATGGAAGATTGACCCGAAAATCCTACCATCTTTAAACGGATCGTTTTATTTCAACCATGTATGGATATTCCACCATACCCTTCCGAACGCCGTTTTTCGTGCAGAAACTTCTCTGGCAAAAAATCCTATTGTTCTCAAGCCACATGCCCTCATATAGAAGGAGATTATCAGCCACTACTTGCAGCCTTATAAGGGTATTCACTTGTAAACCCTACATTCCTTAAACCTTATGGCTTACATCGCGTATCATTGAGATTGAAATGCGTGCTTACAAACACAAGGCTGCATTAAAGCAAAGCCCCATGGAAATTTAGTGCTATGATACTCCTGAGAAAGTCTCCTGCGGATTTGCAACATTAAAACCGGCAGATGTACTGCGAGCTTGAGCTTTTGCGGGCAACGAACCACACGAACCGCTAAGATCTACTCGAGCTCATGTCGCGGAGCAATGGCGGGTGGGAGGGAAGGGTGGAAGGAGGGAGGGCGGGGTGAGGGGAAGGGAGACAAGCCAGAACATGTGGCATCACCTGAGCATTCCCCGCAAAACCTTGTAGTTTTGCATAACAATGCCTCGGGTTGTTTGCATACACGACATCCACTAACAAAAGCGGCTTCACGAAACTAGTGTTACATTTCAGTAGCCTTGAAGGTGTGAGGCTTCATTGGCTGCGATTTTGAGTTGTCGTTTTCCCACCACCAGAAGCGAGATCACAAACCTCTAGAAGCCACAGATCGTTTCGGGGGAGCATGTACGCCCATTATATCTATGGAAAATCAGAAGGTGGTTTGTGACGTGAGCTCAAGGCTGGCGACCTGGCGGCTATTTGTTCTTTGTCATATTCTCGGCTTCCCATCCTGAAGAAGCTTTGGAAAGCCGTGGATCAATGTCGAGGGGAGGGGGGGAGGGGCAGGGGGGAGGAGGGGCGAGTAGATGTACATGTATGTGCATGTATGTGCAGCAATATTACAACGTATTAAGATTTTAAGGTATTGAGACGCTAATTTATCAAAATCTCGGTATTCTACTAATATATATATATATATATGTATTCTACTATAAGACCTTGATATATCGGGATTCAATTATATTAATTGATTGATATATTACTAATATGTATATATATATATATATATACAGACTTCCTATGGTGCCCCATGTTGCCCAGTATGACGCCTCAATACACCTAGGCAGTTTATTGTTTGCGACAAAGTTCCCAATCCGCTTTTCCAGCATGTGCTCAGTGAACGGATATGTGGTTGATATGGCGATGCTACAACCTGAGACCTTTCAGCTGCTTTCAGTGTTGTCCTTTGGTTGCCCCATGGATGAAGGGAAGCACCATACGGTAGTAAAGCGTACACCTTTATGAGGCGCAAGCGGTGATGCTGAAGCATGTCAATCCCCGCGCATCGCTCGCAACTTTCGGGCGCTACGCGCATCCTTCTAGACGGTGCTGGTGCCGCCGAAGCACGGCAATGGCAACCAAGAGTTCGGAACTCCCCGCCTCCTCTGCAGGGAAATGGATGCGTTCCCCAAACGAGATCGAGTTTGAATCGAATCGAACGCGCAGGACCCTGGGCCCGAATGATAGTGCAATAATTCCCTCTGCGCATGAAGTTCAACCCCCAAGTGCGTCCGCGCCTAGGGCGCAACCTGCCTACCTCGTCCACGTCACCACAAGTGACCGGGCTGAAACATGAACCGTCACCCTCCGGGCGTTCAGGGGTTTAGTGTCGAGGGATGTTGAAGGTCTCTAGAGGGCTTGAAGGCTCCAGGGCACCATCTTTTGAAGCCAGGCTGGTTTTGGCAACAGGCTTTTGGAGGGAATGGGTGAATTCCGAAGGTCACGGATGCCGTTGAGATCTTTGCAACCTGTCCGGCTGAAGAAGGGCCATGCAGGTTTGGGGTTTCGGGATGAGCCCGAAGCCATCTTAAACCTTCAGCCCATCCTGGCGACTCGTGTAGCTCCGTGAAGTTCTTGGATCTGCTTCCTTCGGACATATGGAGCTTGCGAGCCCTAAAGGTGGGGTTCTGCACATTGTGGGCTTAAGGGGTCAGGTTTGGACATCAGGGCCTTTGCAAACTGAACCCTGACCCGACAGCGGGGACCTTGAGGCGCCAGCCTCCGCAGCCTCTCCGTGCGCTGGCCAAGTGGCAGAACCGGCTTTGGGGGGCAGCAGGGCGGTTGATGGAATGCCCAGTTTGCCTTTTTGCTGGCGTCTGGAAGTTTTGGGGCTTATGGAAATATCCCTAAACTCCCTATACCCTAAACCCTACAGGGACGTTGGGTTTAAGGCTTAGGGTGTTGAGCTGGTAGATGGCAAGCGGTTCTTTGTTTGGCTGCCATTCTTGCTAGCACCATCTCGATCATACGTTCGTGACACACCGATTCTGAATCACAAGGGGGTGGCCTTACAAAGCCCAAGCCATGGCGCCAGCCATTCGAGAGTCCCAATCTGCCAAGGTATTGAGGGTCTCAGGGTTGCTCTTGGTATTAATGTTTTTCATGGCCAGGTAGTATTCCTGGCGGAGTGGCTGCATCAAACTAAGCCAAGAATGCCATTTATTTCTCCCCGCTAAGTACTATAATATAGTACTTAGCATCATATTATGATTGCAAGCCTACTGCCTTCAAGAGGCCAACGGAGCGTGCGACGCTGATGGCAAGATTGCTCAGGCTCCCGATGTGCGGCTCTCTGTATGTTCGGATCCCGTTTAGAGGGTTCCTATCATTGTTGCACTTGAATACGTAGGAGGTATTGCCGGGTACCGAAAGAAGAGAACAGAATTTGGAGACTTGGCTGAGATGGCAGGGTGTTGAGGTTTGGGAATCGGGCGCTTAGGGACACTTAGGGTGAGAGTTCCGACTGCCCTTGGGTCCTCGGGGCTAAGATCTCAAGCTCCAGGCCCTACTTTTCACTAGTTTGTGATTGGATCGCCTTGGCGTCTATTTCCCTTTATCGTCGCAGAAGGCCCTGAAGCCCTCAAGCCTACCTTAATCCCAACCCTCCAAGCCCACTACTTTCCTCCCTACGCAACGAAGGCCTCAGTCCCTAGACCTAAAACCCTTCCCCTTGCAGGGCGAGGCAACTCCTGCCCACGGCCCAAAGCACCTGGGCTGAGCCGAGAGGGCATGAAACAGGGCTTTGAAGGCTTCAGGGTTTAGGTGTTTAGGGCTTCTTCCTGCGTACCGTGCATTTTTGGTGGTGACGATGGTGGCTGCTTCTGCAAAGGGGGAGAACATCCAGAGCTTCGGGCTTGCAGCTGTAAACGGTAACGGGCTTCCAGCTTGAAGCGGTAAATCCTCGCCTGTTGCTGGTGGGGCCTTGGCCTTTCCATCTTGGCTCGGGGCGTCAAGGGGTGCAACACTGTTGCTTTAGGGCGCAGGGCGTTCCGGACGTTGAGGGCCTTCGGCTTACAAAAAGGAACTTAGGCCTGGGGCTTTAAGGGGTTTGGGCATTTGGGCTTCTTAGGAAGGGGTGTTTGGGATTCAGAGGTTTGCTTCTTGTTTCGTCTACTGGGTTCTTGCTTGACAAGCAAGCGTGAACACTCAACCCTCAATAGGCAGTCTTGCGAAGCCTAGTCTGCCCCTGCTTCTCCCTGCTTCCTTTGCCTTCTTAGGCCCTGCAATCTGGGAACCCGCCTGAAGGGGAAGCTTGATTTTGAAAGCACCAAGTTGAGCCTGAACCTTCCTGAGCCAAGGCCTGACACAGTGAAAGCTCCGATGAGCAGAGAAGTTTGCCTAAAGCGCTTCTCGGGCGCTTAATCCCAAGAAGAAGCCCTCCTGGCGCCTCAGCGGAGGACATCCAAGTCCCAAAGCCCCCGAACCCCCCCTGGAAGGCCCCAATGTAGAAGCCCCAAGACTGATGTTAGGGGTCACCAAGACCAGTGATCGATTCAAAGCAAATCGGCTCAAAAGCAAGCCTGCTGCACAGGAAGTGTGAACATTGCAAGGGCAAGGGCGGCCCAAAGCATCCCGGAACACGTTGTCTGGACGCCCCTAAAGTCGAACATCCTAAATCACATGAAGCAGGTGGAAAGCATTCTGTTCTAGGACCTGGAGTAGGCCCTTATTCCCTTCTTTTCGCTTCCCTTATATAACCCAAAAAGGGTACCCTTTTTTTATTTCTAGGTTACTCCTGGGTCTGGTGTTGCAAGGATCCCCAAACAAAAGGCCCCAGCTCGGTTGAGACTCGGGTTCTTGGTGTTGTGGGGTTCCGCCACTCGCTCCCCTCAACCCTAAACTCTTAAGGTGGAGGGGACACACTGCAGTGGAGCTTCGCTTTCTGGAGCTGCGCCACTGCTGCCGAGACGCTGTTGCAGGGTAGCATAGAATTGCCGACATTGCCCTTAGGCAGCAGATTGCAAGCATCAATCTTGGAGAAGTTCCTCAACAAGCAACCTTTGCCCACACACGCTCATCATGATGCTTCAGCACTGCACCCGAGAAGCCACACAAAGCCTAAACCCTCCCACAGCCGACTGAGAGCCATGGCGCAGCTTTCCGGCCCAACGCAGCAGGGGAGAATGCCCATGTGACAGCGCAGGCCTCGAGGGCTTCAGAGCCTGAGAGATTTAGGGCATGGAGTCCCATCGTGTTGGAGTAGTAGGGAGAGCCGACTTTCATCCAGCTTGCAACTCCTGACGCTGGGACAGGGCCTCCCCAGACTTCCTCTCATGAAGCCCACCCAGGAAACCCTGCACCGTAAGCATACCCGGGAGCCGGCGAACTCTTAAACCCTAAGCCCTAAACTCTAAAGGAGAATTGTGGACTTCAAACCTGGCCATTCGGGAAAGGCTTCCACAGCCTCCTCAGCTCAGGGGCCATCCTGGGCCAAGTGACCACGCGCTGAGGCCATGGAGAAAGGCTCGGAACCTTGGGGGGGTTATGCCATGATCTCCTTGGTACCTGAAATAACTTAATTCCTTGTCTTCTTTTCTGGATTCGCATTGGAACGTCACAACAAAAAGTCAAGGCCGGGCCCGAGAGAAACCTCAGGTCTTCAGAGCCCCCGGGGATGATCACAACGAAGGCTGAAGAATCGCCTGGCGGCGTTATTTCCCCCAAACAGTGCTCTTGGAGCATCGGAGTTTGAACAAGGTAGCACTAGAACTCAATAGCAGCAGCTCTTAATGACTTAATGGCCTCTATCACCCGAAGTTAGAAACCCTAATCCGTACACCCTCAACATGAAGCCCTCAAACAGAAGGTAGGGATGTAGTGCAACTGTCTTTGCCTTTGGTACCAGTACTTGAAGTATGCCCATCCTGGAGTTTCAGAGAGTTATGAGTTCACGCGTTCTTTCAGGCGCACGGTGATGGAGCAAATCATCTTACCACTCGTAGAACACCTCATGCGATGCAAGTCAGAGACCACTTCCACAGACCTTGAGCGAAATTCTGTGTTCGTTCCAAGCCTGGCTAGGGGCGTCGGCCGCGGCATTGACCCTTCCATGGAAGGCGGGCCGTGGTTGGGTCCTACCCAGGATACGAAGAGGGTGTAGACTCGTGTAGTTTCGGTTCATATAGGTCCGAAAACTATTGAATAGCCATTGTGAAAAGACCCATGCCCAACTCTTCACGCACGCTTGAACAGCCTTGCAGCTGCCAGGGCTTGCACTGCAAGCCGTGACGAATGCATGTTCATGACTTTGCCATTTCAAAGCGACACTACATCCTGCCACCACCGGGCATTCAAGCAGCAACCCATCAAGCCTCTAGCTTAACAAAGTTTGTAATCATTGTTGCATGCATCTTCCGGGGCACTGGAAGCACTGGAAGCAGCGCGATGCCCAGTGTCCTCAGTGGCCCGTCCAAGGGGTGGCTTCTAATCTGTTTCGCCACATCTTCAGTGAAGGAGGTTTTCGCAAGCTTTTCGTTGCGTCGGGAGGGCGACGAGCAATTTATCGATCGCGGTGGTTCCGCAATGACGATGGGGGAGGTGTTGCATGCCTGGCAAACCGACTTGAGTTTCCAAGACTTCTTTCTTTCTGCGTTGAAGGGCCAGCCGTACGATGCCTTCTTCTGGGAAATGCCACCTGTTATCACAGAAGTCCTCAACGCAAGCTTCAGATTCGTCGCAGTGGATGCCCGCCATTCTTTTGAGGGAAGAGCTGCCGATCCAAGTTCATTTCAAGAGCAGTTCGATCGGCACCCAAAGCAAAGCGTTGTGGCGTTCCCGAATTTGGGGGGCGATGCCGTCCTCGTGGTTCCCAAGCCGTTGCAGAGAGGGGGCCCTTACCCACAATATGCGCATTTTGCTGCTTTTGCCCGCGGTGCCCCCGCAAGCCAGGCCCGGACACTCCTCCAAGAACTTGGCAAGCAGCTAGAACTGCGACTGAAACGAGGCTCACCAGTGTGTCTTGGCATCCTGTTTCTGGGCGTTGTTGCTTCTGCTTCTCAAGGCCTCAATGCCAAAGCTTAACAACACTGTGTATTTTGTATAGCGAGGCTTCAAACCACAAGAGTACCCCAACGGAGGTTTGTGAGCACGGCTGGGCTAGGCGTCTCGTGGCTGCACCTCCGCTTGGATGACAGGCCAAAGTACTACAGGCATAGGCCCTACAAGCACTTTCCAGTCCTGCCGACGCCGACATCTGCCACTGGTCCGGCCCCACAGGGAAGCTTCAAGGTCCTGCCTGTGCTCTGTCTACTTCTGATTGCAGTCCTCCTGGTTTTCCGCCAACACCTCAAGATGGACTTCGGCCTGGGACTGCGCTGGAAGAAGTCCCCTTACACGTCGGTGTTGCCATGCGCGGGGTTTGCCGTTGCCCTTGTTACACTTCTGGGTGCCTGCCTGCGATTCTTGTGGAATTGACATGCAGAGGCTGCAGCGGCGTGCATCCCTGAGTTTCATCGCAACGCGTGGATCTTGAGACAATGTCGTGTTTGAATGGGCTCCTACGCCAGGCGCAGAGCATTGGGGGCATTGGCTATGCACTAAAAGCCCGGCTCTGTCTGCGGCTGGCGGGCAACACGGAACGTTGAAGACTGCGAGACAAATGCTCAGGCTCGTCCTCCTGCTAGTAACTATGTAACAAAGGCGGACCTCTGGTTACAGGGACTAGAACCTCAAGCTGCGACGCGCGTCTCGGCGCGGAAGAGAGCAAGCAAGGCCTCCAGACACAGCTTCTTTCCGGTCTTCCTCGTGCCCAGAAGGCTACAGGTGCCCACAGCCTCCGCGCACAAGTAGGTAATCGCGCGGCATTGTCCGGGCCACTTGCTGTTTCGGGCGCTAGAAAAGAAATAGAGGCTTGATATCGAGGAAACACAGGTTTTCCTAGGATTTCCTAGGAAATCAGCAGAAAGAAAAAATCAGAAAACTCCGCCGCCCCAAAGCCCTACAGCCAAAACCGCAAAATCGGACCAAAGGGATGCCACAGAACGCACGAAACTTCCTAGCATGTAGCGGCGAATCGAGCAACTTGCACCCTAGACTGAAACCAGAGTGAGGCTACGACACGGCCCCTCGACCCTAGACCCCTAAACCCTGTACTCTCAATTTAAGGTCTTGGGTTCTGGGGTGGGGCTTGGCCTCGAGAAGGCCCATGGGCCATAAAGTTTGGTGGTTCGGGGTGCAAGGGGCATGCAGGGCTTGCAGTGCGGGCCCCTGGCCTTCCATGGCGGGTGTGGCGGACGGAGTGAATTGCCAGACATGCTGCCTTCATCCAAGCTTAGGGTCCCCCTACGAGTTTAAGGCTTAGGCCCCTAAATCCTAACCCTTCACCCCCGGTCACCCCCCAGCCCCCTCGTGGAACCGAAGCGTTGATCCAAGCTTTTCGCACAGGTGTTGACGCTCCCTTTACTTTACCTGGCTTGGACATTTGCGGCGAACTGGGAGCAGATTCGATGGGCTACTCAAGCCATTTTGGAGGTGTTGAGGGTTTGGGGGGGGGGGGTATCAAGTTGGTTTCGGATTTGCGGGGCGGGTGTAAGAGTTCTGGGCTTCGGGGAGCCATCCTAGGGGTCTTTGGTGCGTCGCTGTGCCGCTTGTTCATCGTCTGCACAGGTGTGTAAGCATTCATGCATACATATACATATATATATATATATGCTACCCCCCCCCCCTCAAAACCCGCGTTTTACTATGTTTTCCTATCGTACACTATGAAAACCTCTCCCCAGAAACCCCCAGTTCCAGAATTCCAGAATTCCAGATTTTCTGAGATCCCTAATTCCAGAATTCCAGAATTCCAGATTTTTCAGAGGCCCCCAGTTCCAGAATTCCAGAATTCCAGAATCTGGAATTCTGGAACTGGGGGCCCCTGACAAATCTGGAATTCTGGAATTCTGGAATTCTGGAATTCTAATTTCGGAGAGCCAAGAAGGTTACATTTGAAATTAGAGACGGAAAATAAGAGTCTTATTAATCTTACCCATTAAGTTTTAGAGGATTCCTTATAATTTTCTAGGCGGATTAAATTTAATAATACTCCCGTTCACTTCACTGGGAGTTCTTATTAGCCACCAGTTCCAGAATTCCAGAATTCCAGAATCTGGAATTCTGGAACTGGGGGCCCCTGACAAATCTGGAATTCTGGAATTCTGGAATTCTAATTTCGGAGAGCCAAGAAGGTTACATTTGAAATTAGAGACGGAAAATAAGAGTCATATTAATCTTACCCATTAAGTTTTAGAGGATTCCTTATAACTTTCTAGGCTGACTAATTTTAATAATACTCCCGTTCACTTCAATGGGAGTTCTTATTAGCCCCCAGTTCCAGAATTCCAGAATTCCAGAATCTGGAATTCGGGAACTCGGGGCCCCTGAAAAATCTGGAATTCTGGAATTCTAAGAGCCGAGAGAAAGGTTACATTTTGAAATTAGAGACGGAAAATAAGAGTCTTATTAATCTTACCGAATAGGTTTCCTATTTATGATTAATCCTACTGCCGTTCATTTTACTGGGGGTTCGTATTAAATTGATAAGATTCCGAATAATTTTACTAGCATTCACTGTTTTTAAGTAGGATTCCTGCATTTGTCTAGTTGGGTTCGTATTAATTTCTAAAGGATGCCTATTAAAGGGTGCCTATTGGATTTATTCGGGTTAATATTGATTACTATTCATTTTCATCAGATTCCAAGTAGTTTGAATAGGGTTCTTAGTAATGTTAATAGCATTCTTATTCCTAGTTTTTTTTGAAACATATTCCTATGATGTTGATGGGCTTCTTATTCAATTTCAAAAGATTGCGTACAAATTGTTAATTGGATTCTTTTTGCTTTGATAAGCTTCCAATTAATTTAAATAGGTTCCTGATTAATTGGAATAGGCTTCGTATTCATGTTAACAGGGTCTCTCATTCATGTTGAAAGGATTCTTAAGAATTTTCATAGGGATCCTACTAGATTCAACAGTGCTCCTACTGTTTTTTGAATACTGGCCCCTATTCATTTCAATTGGACTCGAAATAATTCTATTGTAATTCTTAATAATTTTAACAGCAGTCCTATGAACAAAAAGTTTTAATAGGTTCATAGTCATTTCATCAGTGCGGCTCTTATTGTTTCAAAGGGTCCACGTTACTTTTTTATAGAATTTTATTGGCTCCTCTTAATCTTAATAGGATTCGTCTTCATGTTAAACGGATTCCTGTTACTCGTAAAAGAATTCACAGAAGTTTTTATAGGGTTCATATTCATTTTAATAGCATTCCTATGCATTCAAAAGGGTTCCTATTCATTTCAATGGGCTTCCTATGATTCCTTTGAGTTTAGGACTCCAAGAAATTAGAATAGGAGTCCTACTTATTTGATATGCTTCTACATATTTAAACCAGATTCCTATCAATTGTACGTATTGATTTAAATCGGACTCTTGTTGAATTCATACGAAATGAATCCCATTTAATTTAATAGGAACCCAAGTAAAACTAACAGCAATCTAGCAATCTTATTGATAGTTTTGTACTTTTTTTAAACGTTTTTAAACACTTAATAGCAATCCACGATCTCGAGCAAATTGTTCAGGTCACTTCTGTTTGAGCACTCGCTCGAGCAATGGCTGAGTGGATCTAATTATGTGAATAAAGCTTTTTGGAATCAACGAAGTTAATTAAAAGTAACGAAATCAAGGACATTAGACACATTAGTGAAATTCAGTAAACTATTTAATGAATTTCTAAAACCCTACCATGACCAAACTGGGAGGCCGATCTGTCGGACTTCAGGGAAGAGCATATGGAAGCGTGGGTTTTGGGGGGGGGGGGGTACCATATATATATATATATATAGATATGTATAGTTCTTTGTTTATTTGTTTTTAAGTTTAGACCTAAAAGCATGCAGAAATACGCAGCAGTAAGCCCCTGAAGCATATACCCTGGCATGGAAGTCCACACTCCTGAGCCCCAACCATACTCGACTACTCGACAACCCGAAGTTCGGCCCAGACACATTCGGTGCAGCTGTCGCGCGACCAGGCTTTCCCGAATTCGGTACCGTCCGAGCTGTCCCTCACCAGCACGAGGCACTGCATGCATACATACACGTCGAATGCTTCATACGGAGTTCTTGTTGTAGAAGCTGCGTGTAATTAGACACCAGCCTTCAAGGGTCATGAGCTCTCAAAGTTCATGTCGTGGGCTTAGGCGTTAAGTGAGCAACCCCTTAGGTTTCGAGCTGGAGCAAGCGAGCCCCTAAGACCTTTGCCAGCGCGAGCTAGAACTGTTTGCGGTTGCCCTTACCCGAACCCCAAGCCAAAGCCCTTTAAGCCAGAACAACTGCAAGCCTTCTACCAAATCTGTGCATGGGCTTGAGACCTATGCTTGGCTCCCTATAAACACTGATGTGCGTGCTGGAGGCTTCACATTTTGCGCTCTACGGTCCTTTGCCCCTCCCCCAACCGGCGCCCGCATCGTTGGCGCTGACGATGCGGCTTTTCTAACTCACTGGCCTGACACGGGGTTTCTGGGTCCTCAAGCCCTCGAGAAGCCCAAAACCGCCATTCGCCAAAAGATCCCCCAATGGTGCCCTTGTTCCTGTTTGATGAGGCGAAAAATGGATATGATGTGTTTCCTTTTTAACCTAGTTACTAGCTGTTTGTATTCGCACCATCACCGACTCCGACGCCCAATCTTACTCCTCCCTTGGAAGGCCTGGTCTGGAGGAGGCTCTCGAACCCACTCTGCAACGAGTTCTGAGTCAAGCAAGAGAGGCTTGGTCAGAGTTGGGGCTTAGCGTTTTGCATCCCTTGGCCACCAATTCTCAGGGGCTTGTTGTTCGGGCTGGACTGCTGCAGCAGTCAAGTCGCAGTGCTTCCCAATGTCTGTACATCTTCATACGGCGATGAATGTCCAAGGAGCCCGACAAGCTTTCGCTGGACGTCACTTCCATTCTGCAGAATGCACCTTGGCGATACCAGCAGGGTTCTATGGCCTTCTTACCCGAAACCCTCAACCTTAAGCCAGACTCTACAGCCTGAACCGGAAAGGTAAAAGAAGAGAGGGGAGAAATCAGCCAAGTCATACAATGCGGATCTTTCCACCACTGCCCCCAAATCCTAATCCATCATGGACCTTATAGCATGCCAAGAGTATCAACTCACAGACACAAGAACTAGGACCTCGGTGTGGGCCCTTGTCCCGGTACCCGTTTTATTCCCAGGTCTGGGACATAGGGAAACAGATAGCTCCCGGCATGGAGGTTGCCCTGCACCCTAAATCGCTCCTGCCAGGCATCGCTGAGGCCAAGGCGCGCGGAATGTCCTGCGTAAGCTGCCCTGTGTATGTTGTGGCTTGGGACTTGGAGCCGGGTCTGAGTTTTAGGGCCCTTCGGCGATTTTGAGTGCTCAGACTTCATGCTGGGTCTCTTAGTTTTCTTCCCTGGGCTCGGCTTCAGCGTGCATCCGGCATCCGAGCTGCAGGCGGCTACGAGAATCCACGTCGAGGAAGAACCTCAGACTGGCTGCCTGTCCCCAAAATCCCCACAAGCCAAAAAGTTGCATCCGGTTTTTGAGGTGCTTCCTTGACTTCGGGGCGGTTTCAGGGGTCTTTTGGCTTCAGGGATGGTTCGGGGGTGCCATGGCGGAGCCCGTTCACAGCAGCTGAGGCTCTGTGCGGCCTGAACGGCATTCAGGCGGTGGTGACTCCCGGGCAGCTGCTGGGACTTCCTGAAGACGATGTCCCCCTTGGGAAGTGTTTTTTGTTCATATAATTGTAAACCCAAGAGGGTATCAACAAATAATTGTTATTAAGGTTCTAAGGGGAGTATAGAAGATTTTTTCTTGAGGTAGCCTTGGAGGTCAGAGCTTCACTAGGGTGCTGGCCAGAGCCCGTATTCAGCCTTCCGACCTTGCAGCCGAGTCCAAAGGTGCGGACCGGGTAGGGCCGAAACTCCTCAGCAAAAGATTTCAGTGCAATGGATGTATAAATCTGAAAAAGGTGCATAGCTAACGAAACGTTGTTGCATCTAAGGTTAGATATTGGGGGAGGGGGAGCGAAGATTCTGTTTGTGGCTGCAAAGAAGTCAATGCTTTTGTCCCCGCTGGTTGTCACAAAAAGCAGAGTTCCCAAGACTTTCTGGATGCGGCCTATAGAAATGAGGTCACAAGAGTGCACTAAGTAAAGCGACCTGAAACTTGTTGAAAACATGAGCAACTTACAAGAAAACGAAAGCGCTAGTTAAACAGGCTTCTCAAAGTCTGAGCTCACTTGAAACCTGTTGCATTCTTGAGCAAAAGTACAGGTAGAAGCATCTGAAAGGTCACTGGGTTCTGCGGACTTGGATTGACAGACACCTGAGAATGAATTGGCAAAAACAGGAATGTTCAACAGTATTGTTGTTCGTATAAATTTATGCATAGCTTCAGTTCCATGAGTAAACACCGATGAAATTGAAGTTCGAGAAAAGCAACCACAATAAGGCTAGTTGTTGATTTTGGTGCATCATGCTCAAAGACTGGCAAGCAGTCAAAGGCAATGAAACGTCAAGCCTCTTCCAGCACATGTCACGACATGTTCCTGCCGTGAGGGCTTTCAAGTTTTGGGGTTGAGTGCTCAGAGTAGGGGCTTGGGCCATTTCCCGTCCAGTCTTTCCTGGCTCAGGATCGCAACAAATCTCAACAATGCGACCTGGCGACGGAAGCGGGGCTAAGGTTTAGGCTGAAGAGAAACTCAAACATCTTAAGCCCGGGACCCTTTGATGTCCAGAGGTGCAAGATTCAGCCATGGAAGGATCAACAAGAATGCAGTTGTTCAGATTGTTTCTATGGTTTAGGGTGGGTGATACGAGCACTAAACGCCATACTTCATACCCGTATGCATCAAGAGTAGAATGCTAGAAGCTGTTGGAGTTCAGAATGTCGACCTGAATGCTGAACCCTCACACATACAGACGGCATGTGAACCCCTCAGTGCTTGATTCGGTGTTCGGGTAGAATAGCCCTTGTCCGTTCACAACCCTAAACCCTAAACCCCAATTAAGATAGCCGAGGTGGCCCAGGCTTGCCAGCCGCCTTATCCCATGAACGGATCGCAGCAGGACTTTTGCGCAGGCGAGCGGGGTGCGAAGGACTGGGGCTTTGGGGCTCACGCGTGAGCCGACTTCCCTAGTAGGGAAACAAGTATGCCAGTCAATCTTGCTACAGAAAACGATCTGGAAGGGTGCAGCGCTAAAGCCAACACCCTCTACTCCAAACCCTAAGGTCCTGAACCCTTGAAAGCCCTCAAGCCACCTAGACCCTGAACCCCACGGCCCTTCCTCCCAAACTCAACACCCCAAATCCAGAAGCCCCCCAATCCACAGATAAAGCCTTCAACTTTACAAGCCCTAAACCCCAAACAGACCCTGAACTGCCCCTGTAGCCATGGTCTCCCTGGACCTTGCGCTTTGGGGCTTCCTCGCCATCTACATCGAGGGCGCGCTTCTTTGGCTTGCTCAGAGCTTGGAGAGTTTAAGGTCTTTTTGGTCTCGGACTGTAGGCGGTGTTTTAGGGGTTCAGCGTTTAGTGCGGACGTCATGAGTTTGCGTCTCAATTTGCCTTGTGTGCGCTGTCGACTTGGGCCGGGTTCGGGAGTCGGGCTCGGGCGCTGCCTGTTGTAGCGTGGCCTCGCGCTGAAATCTAAGGGTAATCTCTTGTAGCTGCTTGGATGCAGTTGGTGCGATGCTTCATGCTGGGGATTTCCCAGATTGCGGAGTGGACATCGTGCAGCCGATGAGTTTCGTCGTTTGGGAGGATATATTTATTATATTATATTGTATTATATTATATTATATTATATTTCTGTATTTGTACATGTTTTTATGTATGTATATTTCTTTATGTAGTTTACGAGCAGAGGTCCCACTTTCCAACTTCAGGCCACCTGCGCCTTGTCCTGCACAGGGATGCACCTCCTGGGCCCCAGAAATCCTCAAGGTGCTCGGAGTGGTCTCAGTTTAGGGTTTAGGGTTTAGGGTTTTTTAGGGTTTAGGGTCTAGGATTTTAGGGTTTAGGGTAGAGACCCCACTAGGGCCCACAGTTTTGAACACAAGTCCCATGTCCTCGAAGCAAGCCAGGGTCTCGCCCTTTAGCGGTTTGTGGAGGCGTCAGGATGGTTCAAGGCTCAGGGATTTGGACGAGACCCTCAACCCTGAAATCCCTGAGCCCTGAAATCCCTGAACCCTCGAATGTCCTCTCAAGCATGGCTCAGGTGCCATTCAGATCACAGGCCGCGCTTTAGGGTTTCTCGGTTCTTAGCAGGATAATCTAGGGTTCCTTTAAGGATCCTTTTCGGGGCCGGCAAAACCTCCTAGTTTAGGGGTTCAGGTGACTTGCTTCATGTCACTCGAGGTTTCGAGTCTAGTCATCCAGTCCGTGCGGTTACCCTGAAAGAGACACCCTCAGGCAGCACAGTGGCCTAGTGTACAGGGTTGCTTCCCGTTCCCGGCAAACGGCTCTGAGGCCTGAGTGAAGCCCCGGTGACTCCGGGTTTGGGTGTCGGGGAAGAGCTCCATTTCAGCCAACAGCCCGCTTGGCGATCACAAGTGGCCGGCACTTCAGCCTCAATATTCCCGACCGACCTGCATTTGTTTCAGGAGGGGGGCACCCCGTCACTGGTGAAATGGAACGATTCAGGTTTTAGGGTTTTTGGTCCAGGGCTTTAGGTTTGAGGGTTTCGTGTTTAGGGTTAAAGGTTTGGGCTCAGGGTTTCAGAGTTTTTGGCCCAACTGGTTGTGCAGAGCCGAGCCTGTGGAGGCATTCTGGCGAGCACTGCCGTGACGGCGTCCGCTGGCGCGAACATTCGAAGAAACTGTGCCTGGCCGGAAGAAGTTGGAGGTTTCACGGCATTTGGGGTGGGCTTGCAGACATGCTGAAAACTAAGACACTGGGTTGAATGGGAAGCCTCGGCCCTGGCCGCAGAAACTTCCGACAAGTAGTCTTTGCTGCGAGAAGGCTTTCAGACATAGATCTTGGATTACACCTCACATTGTCCAAGCACGCAGCGCCCCTGAACCCGCTAACCCCTGAACCCAATCATGCTCAGCTGCGGAGCAGATCTGTAGGAGCCCAACTTCCACCCTAGAAGCCCTTGAAACCCTGAATTCGATGCCCAGGAGTACCGGGTTTAGGGTTTAGGGGTTGTGTATACAGCCTTCGAGCCAGGTCTACCACCAGGAGGATACAAAGCCCCCGCTGTCTCCTGGCCGGACTTGAGCAGGATATCCCTACATCCGCAAAGCTTGTAGGGACTGAGCCCTTTGAGCCCTACGAACTTTAGAGGGTTCACTGTGCTGGGTACCAGGAAGTTCTTGGGTCGTAGATTACGGGGGATGGTTTGGCGATGGATGCTGGGCTTATGGGCTTTACAGCTGGGCTTCGGGTGCAGGGCAAGTCGGAGCGTGTCAGGGACCGGGCCAGCTATGATGTCATGATCATGCCGGTCCTGTTCGTCACACACAGTATGTGTGCACATTCCTCTCCTTCTCTCTCTCTCTCACTCTCTTTCTCTCCTTCTCTTTGTCTCTGTCTCTCTCTCTCCCGTTCCCTCCCTCTCTCTCTCTCTCTTTTGTTCTCTGCCTGCTCGGCCTGTCTCTCCTGCTCTCTCTTGTGCGACTTCGAGCCGATGTTTGCCTGCCTCTTCCGCTGACTACGAGCCTGGACTTCTCTTGGCCCCGAGACACCCACAAGACATGCATCTCCTCACTGCAACATAATAGTGCCATGAGCAGCCTGTACCAGGAGAGTGCTTTCTAGTACCCCATCCGTACGAAAGTCGGAAGCTAGTGTTCAGATGGGCCATTCGGTACATGACAAGGCCACGATTCACAGGAGCGACAGCTTGGCCAGCACACTTTCTGGCAGCAGCTTGGCTGTCAAGTGGTCTGCTAACCCCTGCCATGCAAACCGGTAAATGTCCTTGGGGAGCAGAGGCAGCTAGGGAGCCCGAACATAGCCCCGTAAGCACTTCGAGCTGCATGACGCTGAGGTGACCTCTCCGCTGCGAACGATTATTTGCACGAAAGGCGTCCGCAGTCCTTGTGCATCTGCCCTGTAAGTTTGGAGCTTCGGCAGGTCTCAATCATGGCCCTTAAATATGCCCCTTTCTTCTGAGTCTGGTCCAGATAATGGTGGAGGGTTTAGGGCCCAGGGCTGTTTGGAGTTGTACAAAAAGGGATCAGTAAGGTTTACACTTCAATGCACCTAGCTGGCAGCGAGAAACCAAGTGGAATCATAGTTTGGGCAACACGCTCTTGTTGAGTTGGGCGTAGGAGTTCAAAGTGCAATTCATCTGTTGTGGCAGGCGCACGCTACAACCTCCCACTATGAGGGTTCTGGAACTCTATGTGCCCGACAACGTCCTTGAACCCGATGTGTTGCATCCTTCGACCCAACTTCATGGTGCTTCCTGGACAGGGCGCAGATCATCATCGACGCGGAGAAGCAGCTTAGGGCACGGCCAGCCATCTTCCAGCGGGGTTCTGCGGATAGCGACCGTGATAAGTTCAACCTGAATTCACTGCACTGCTTACATCGTCTTACACAGTATATGGGCTGGTAAATAGGTAAATAACCAAGCTCTCGACGACCAAACTTATGAACCAGAAAAAGGGGCCTTGCTCGAAGATAGCTCCCATCAGAGGTCTTCACGATTCGGCGTTTGATCATTGTGGTGCCCCTAAGTACTAAGGGAATGCCAGAAGACATGGCAGGCCAAGTTCACTTCCGGCCTTGGAATCCGCCGGCTGGAGGACAGTACACGACTGCGTCCAGTTGACACTGTGCCCGCGTGTATAGAACTCAAAGGGCGCGAAGGAATGCTAAAAGTTTATAGGGCTACACTGAATGTTTTGACATCCCTCACACGCTCAAGAAGAGCCTTAATCTGTAGAACCTGATCATATGCGTTATAAATCCTCAGCAGCCATCCTTTGAGGATTTGGCAACGCTGCCGGCAAGTCCCGCTGTGCGTCTCGACCGTTCAAGACCACCAAACCCAAGCCTAAACCACACGCCATCACACACCCTTATTACGCTGAACCTTCAACTTCCCTAAACCTCGAACTTGCATTTTGCGGGATTCGGGGTTTGGGGCTTCCAGGACTCTGGAGTTTGGGGTGCTCGGGTGAATACATCCCTGGTTTCAGAGCCAGTAAACTCCTTTCAAGCCTTGTGGGGTTTGGAGAACGAGGCCCTTGGGGTTCTAAGGTTGCGCATGTTTATTTTGTTTCGTGTGTGTGTGTGTGGATGGGACGGACTTTGAGTCTTAGAGGGGCTAGTGTTGAGGGACGTGTGGGGACGTTCCGGATGTCAAGACTTGGCGCTGGGTAGGGGGGGATGAGTCGGAAGAGGGGGATGTCTGCGTCCAGTTGTTGTCCAGGTCGGGTGGGCAGACTCTTGCGGATGACCTGGAGCAGTTTGGAAAGAGTACCTTGGGCAAGGTTTAGGCAAACAAGACCCCAAAGCTGGAGCAGGAGGTTTGCTGAGGGCTCGCGGCTCAAATTTCGGTTGTTGCCGAGGAGCCAAAGACGCTCTAAACAAGGCGCGGCCGGGTGCGTGGAGACCGGTTCAAGGGTCAGGGGCTGAGTGAGTGTTTAGGCTTAGGTGAACTCGTAGTACCAAAGTCCCGCAGAGGTTTGAACGCTTGCCTGAGGGCTTCTATGTACACCTTCGCAATCCTTCGCGATTAATGTCCGTACCCCTTTAGAGCGGGCTCCTTCTTTCAAGCCGAACTTCCCGGCTTGGTCGGGGTCCGCTGTTGAAAGTCAAGTTCTCCGCGCCTCGTAAGAATGTCGGGTGCAGCGATCGCAGTTCCTTTGACATGTCATTTGCAATCTTACGAAGAAGAAATTCGCAGAGAGGATGGTGAATCCTTGACTCTGTCGTTAAGGTGGCTTACAGTAGGGTTTCAGGAGTCGAGCGTTGGATTTGCAATGGATGTAGGCTGTTTCCGGCAGGCGGCGAACCCCGCCAGCGGGCCCGTTCGAAATGAGGACCCCATGGGGCGACTTCTCTGTTGAAGCACATCCCAAGCGCCCCAAGATTCTGGGGCCCTAAGAACCCCCAACCTCATCCCGAAACCTGTAAAACCTTAAGGCTCATTAAGCCAAAGCTAAGCAAACCCTACGAGCGCCTGACCAGGACGGCATCGCTGAGTGGGAGGCTCCTTCACAAGAGAGGCATGCTGTGTCGCGGTGTACCGTAGGTTCTTGAGCCCTGGAAGGCCCCGAAACACGACTCCCCCCTATTCCCTCACCGAAACAGTGTTTCAGGTTTGGGGATATCAAAGCCCAAAACCCCCCCCCGTAAGACTATATGGGGCTGTCAAAAACCACGGAAGAGGGACCTTACAGGATATCCACTTTAAATGTACGGATATGCAGGGGCTTCGGGACCTCATTGGCAGGTAGGCAAAAGACACTACGGATTGGGTTCACTCAACCCTGAACCCTTGTTCCTGATTGGTCAGGGGCGCCCTCGACGCAAACACTGTGGAGGGAAGCCGCCAACAGGCGTGCCTTACGGGGGTAAGGCCGGGGTTCTGTTCGGAATTTAGGGTGTAGGGTACGGAGGTTCGAAGGGGGGGGGTTCATGATTTTGTGTGGTCCCGGGCATTTGCGCCTTGATTCCTCTATGACACGACAGAGACATAGAATTGTTGCCTCGCTCTTCTCTCTGTCTGCATGACAGACAAGTTAAAACCCTTCTCACTATCCAGTTCGCCAAGTACCCCTCAATGCCGATTGTGCCAAGCGCATGGTGACGAGGTTAGGTTGGGACAGTCAGTGCCATGCATGCTCCCCCCGCCCCATCTGGCATCGCTCGGCGAGGAGACCGCAAGGAATTGGAAGAGAGCATCATGCTTCTTTGACATGGGTGCCCTGGTGAAAAGTTCTGCGTGCTTTGAGTCGCAGCAAACTTCAGCCATGGAGCAAGGTCTGGGCTGTTTCTGACTATGCAGGGTTTTTGGGTGCAGAGCTTAAGACACAGGGCTTTGGGTTCGAGGTGCAGCCCTGATGTCTAGGGCGGTTGGGTGCTGGGTGGAGTACCCGAAATACAAGCCTTGGTACTACGCAAGGCGCCCACAAGAGGGACCAGACCTTAGAGAGCTATACATGTACATGTGGTTTGCGTCATGCCAGTTGAGTATGGGGTGGTTACTACTCAACTGCAGGTAAATACAGTTATAGATAGATCATCCCTTTGGTTCCTTGCGTCAGGTTGTACAGCTTCCCAGGGAGCTGAGGCAAGGTTTGGAGTATCGGCTTGCTCTCCAAGGTAAAGCAGTGGCCCGTGTGGCCGAAGTCGCTGTGCTCGCCGCATCTGCGGCCGAAGAGTCCCGGCTTTAAGATTTGGGGGTTCGGGGCTTTGGATTTGAGGTGTTCGCGGCCTTTGGGTGTTCTGGTGCATGGTTCTTGCCCAGAAGTTTGCGTTTCCACCCCATTTGCTCTTGTAGATGGGTGAAAACTGGCCGAGGGCTTGTGCGAGATCCGAGCCGGGCGCGGGGATTGGTAGGGGGTTGAAGTCTTGGGAGCAGCTGAGTCACTCCTACACGGACACAGGACTGCGCCCCAGAGCACCTCGCCGAGTCAGGCGAGCCAGGCTGGACCCCCGTCTTTCGGGTTTAGGGTTTAGCTTTTTAGGGTCAACGGGTAAGGAGTCGGGTGACCATGTGGAGCGGGTATTTACCAGGTGGCGAGTCGCAAGCCCTTCTTAATCCCATTCACTTCGCACTGTTGCACTGAGGCCTCGCCCCAAACAAGTGAAAAGTCCTTGTCACCGTAGCAGGGGCAGCCGCACCAGCAGGGTAGACTTCTTAGAGTCGGGTAGAGTATCACTATTGCTGTCCTCCTCCTCCTCCTCCTCCTACTACTACTACTACTACTACTACTACTACTACTACTACTACTACTACTACTACTACTACTACTACTACTACTACTACTACTACTACTACTACTACTACTACTACTACTACTACTACTACTACTACTACTACTACTACTACTACTACTACCTACTTACTACTTACTACTTACTACTTACTACTTACTACTTACTACTTACTACTTGCTACTCACTACTCACTACTCACTACTCACTACTCACTACTCACTACTCACTACCCACTACTCACTACTTACTACTTACTACTTACTACTTACTACTTACTACTTACTACTTACTACTTACTACTTACTACTTACTACTTACTACTTACTACTTACTACTTACTACTTACTACTTACTACTTACTACTTACTACTTACTACTTTCTACTTACTACTTTCTACTTACTACTTACTACTTACTACTTACTACTTACTACTTACTACTTACTACTTACTACTTACTACTACTTACTACTACTACTACTACTCGTACTACACTACTACTACTTACTACTACTACTACTACTACTACTACTACTACTACTACTACTACTAACTACTACTACTACTAACTACTACTAACTACTACTACTACTACTACTACTACTACTACGCTACCACCACACCCCACTACGACTACTACTACTACTAATTACTACTAACTACTACTACTACTACTAACGCTAACTACTACTAACTACTACTAACTACTACTAACTACTACTAACTACTACTAACTACTACTAACTACTACTAACTACTACTACTAACTACTACTAACTACTACTAACTCCTACTGACTGCTACTAACTACTACTAACTACTAACTACTACTAGCTACTACTAGCTACTACGAACTACTACTAACTACTACTAACTACTACTACTACTACTACTACTACTACTACTACTACTACTACTACTACTACTACTACTACCACTACCACTACCACTACCACTACCACTAACACTACCACTACCTCTACAAAGTCTACTACTGCTACTACTGCTATCACGACCAAAACAACTGTTAGCAGCAGCTGCTCTCATTTTTGTTACTGCTGTTGTTCTTGTGGGCTGTTTATCCATGCTTCAGGCAAGCTCAAGTGCATTGTGGACATCACGGGCGCGATTGCTTCAGCTAGCTCCTCCGCCCAAAACGTTGAGCTCGTGTCAGAGAGCCCCAAGAGCTTGAAGACCGTGGTTGAAAAGAATTGCAGATTGGGTTCCGATTTGGGTTCCGATTTGGGTTTTGGGAGCCATGTGACAGGAAACACCTGTGTTTGTTGCTCTCAAGCTTTTATTTCCTCGCTGCAGCCTATGGACATCTATCCGCCCTAAACTCTCAAACTGGAACAACCCCACATCCGAAGCAAGCCCGTCCGCAGCAAAGTGCCGCGTTTTCAGCACCTAGTACGGTTCGACTTCAATTCAAGCTGGCGCGTCATCTTGAATTTTGGATCGAATTAATACTAACGATGCGCGGCATCATATTTTCAGTGAGCAGTCTTTGTCTGAATTTGCGAGGCCAGTGTGCAGACTAACGCTGGCTTTCTCAACACACCTCAACACGCTTGCTCGGGCATAAGCAGTGGCAATCAGGCATCGCGTCGACACTCATCAGCCTCAGCGTGGTCAACTGCCCAGCTACCTTGTGACTGGGCTGCCTTGTGAAAGTGGCTTATGTTTGCGCCCGAAGGAATCACGAGTCTCTTTTTTGTATTCATGTGTATTCCCACACTTCGTTGAACAACTGAGGCAATTTTCTGAGGCCATGGGGCAGAGCCGCTTCGCATGCAGCCCTCGTGGAGCGGGCAGCGGTTCCCTCCCTCTCTGTCCGTCTCTCTCCGCTTTCCCTCCCTCCCCTGCCTGTCCGCTCCCTGTCCCCCCCTCCCCCTCGCCCCTCTCCCCCTCTCCCTCGCCCTCTCCCTCTCTCCTCTCCCTCTCCCTCTCTCTCTCTCTCTCTTTTTTTTCTCTGAGGTGCAGCGGTAGGATTCCCAGTTGGTTTCGCCTAGCAAGCGCAGAGAGCAGCAACACGGGGCCGTGTCAGGTTTCCTAAGCATGGCGTCCACAACGGGGGATAGAGGCCTCTTTGAGAGGTAAAGTGCATGACTTCTTCTCACAGCGTCTCGGCCGCTGGGGACAACGGGGCAGGTGAGTGAGGTGAGCGGGGGAACATTATGATCCTTAAGAATTAAGAATATCCGTTTGAAGAGGAATCATTACTAGAATATTCTTGGTTGTTCGAAATCACATTCACTGATGCCATAAGTGCTAATATCTGTTATTAACAACCGTTATCATATCCAACCCTGCTTGCTAAATGCCCATCAAAGGGCTCTGCGCCTCCGCCATCCTGAATTTGGTCACCGTCGCCAGCTACATGACCACTTCGGTGGTGCCGATCTCAGAAAGACCGGGCTGGCGTTTTTCAGGGTTGAGGGCTCAGGCTTTCCGAGGGTCCGAGAGGGTGGTGGGCTTTCGAGTTCGGCTTGATGCAAGTGGCTTGAGAACACCCTGGTTACACTCTCTATTTTGCTTGTACGCGGTATTGTAGTGTCGAGAGGAGAAAGTGGCCGTTAACCTAAGACCAAGAATCACTGTGGTTTCGTCTTGGGGCTTTGCCCTGAGGAAGGAGTTTCGTGATGCAATGATTTAGGACATGTGTACAGAGAGATACATATGTATATATATATACATATATATATATATTTTTTCTATAGAAGTACACAAAATGTCAACGTACCAGTACATTCAGAGGATTGCAAGGTCCATCGACAGAATCGGCACTCGGTTGAGGTCTTTTGTAGTGACTGGCGAAGGTTTATCAGGACCCACGGCTAATCGCAACCCGATGCTGACGCCAGATTTCTCGAAAGCTTGAGGCTACAACACGGGCATTTCGCCTCTAGAGGCTCCCAGGCACCTTGAGCTCATAGCCTGAACACTCCAAAACCGTAAGTCCCTCTGCAAACCGTGAATCCCTCAGCTTTTTGAACTCCCAGGCGACTCTGGGGAGCACCTGCGGCATCTCGGGATCCAAGACTCGGTTTCAGGATTTAGAGTTTAGGGTTTCTAGGGTTTAGGGTTCAGGATTCAGGGTTCAGGGTTTAGAGTTGAGGGGTTCAGGACTTATGGTTTCGAAAGTCTTGGGGCCTTTTGGGGCCGGGACTAGAAGGTTCGGAATGGTTTAGGAGGTTGAGGGTTAGGGCTCCCCCAGAATGTTGAGCGAGTGCTCCTTTCCAGGGCTCTGGAGTTCAGGACCTTGGGGGGCCTTAAGCTTCGAAACCGCTTAGGCTCCTATTAAGGCAGCATCAGATCCTCTACGCCTTGTTTGTCCATCTTCTTTGTTTAATTCCCCAACATCCCCCCAGCAGTAGAGTGTGTGTGAACTCTGAAGCTTCCTTGCTGGGATTTCAAAATCTGCGGAGCTCTGCAATGTTTTGTTTCGGGGGCATCTTCTTCCATGCGCGCAGCCCGCGCGTATCCCTCAGCAAACCCCTTCTGCCAAGCCCTCGCGCACCAAAAAGCCCCCATTTTTGAACAGGCTGCCTAGAGCCCAAACTATGCACAGCCAAAGTAGGCTTGATTGAAGCACCCAACCCCACAAGCATACCAAGTACCTAATTCCATGCAATCCTCCAAGCACCTCCGGAGCATTCCGCCAAAAGACCTGATGCCCAAACTTATAAACCTTCCCTGCCACCCAACCCAACAACGTCCCAGGCAGAATCCAGGCCCAGGCCACAGAGACAAAAAGAAAATGCGCCGAAGATCTGGGGAGTTTGGCTTCCGCTTAGAGTTAATAGGGTTTTGGTGGTTTGGGGATACGAGGGCATGGAAGGTTTCAGGGCTCAGGCGCCCGGAACGCAGGGTGAAGGGCTGCAGGGTCGTGGCTTGGCTGCGACGCTTGGGATTTCGTGTCATGCCCGAGACATGGCCTCACCGGAAACCTTTCTCCGAGCAGTGCCATGGCTTCCTGCAACGAAGAAACAAGTCCCAAGACCTGGACCCCCAATCAATCCTGAACCAAAAGTCGGCTTGGAGTCTGGACTTTGGGTCCTCAGCTTCGGTTTGCGGGCGCCAGAATTGCAATCAGCCACTGCTGAGGGTCCACGGCGTTGGGCACGAGAAAGAGACCCTCATAAAAAAGCAGAGGTTAGATGGGAACAAGCTTGGGGCTACGTGACGTGGGTGTATAGGGGCCGCGTCCTTTGACTTATCCTTCTCATTGCGCACGGCCTGAGGCATTCACAATGCATGAGTTGTCAGGTTCCGTGGTTGAGGGGAGTTCCTCGGGAGCCATTTTGGTTCAGCTGAGAGCACCGCACTCGAAGCTGCAGCTTTGCAACAAACGATGGCATCAGCAAAGGCATCTTGGCATGACGGTGGTCAGAGTCTTTAGGGGCCCTTTATTCCCTCCCCCCCCCCGCGCTGGTGGTGGGGTTGAGTTTAGGTCTTAGGACAACCCTAAACCCTAAACCCTAAACCCTAAACCCCCTGAACCTTCCTAAACCATGGTTTTAGGGCTTGTAGGGGTCTATTTAGGCTCAGGGTACCGAGCCCAGGACCCCGAGGTGGCCAGCGGACTGCTGAGTTCCATGGAGAGCGAGGACTGGAGAGCTCTTGATTGAGGGTGCTTTGTGGGAGTTTTGGGTTCAGGCTTCAGGGTTCAGGGTTTAGGGTTTAGGATTTCAGGTTTGAGGGTTTAAGGGCCACCGACGTCCTAACCCTTGAGCCACAGAAGGCTTGTGACACCCATTTAGCCTTGTATCTTGCTAGGCCGATTAGGAAGAAGCCCCAGTCACCGAACTATCACAGCTCAGAATTTGATCCGGGAAAGGCCCGAAAGTTTTGCGACATGTTCCCCAAGCCCTAAAGCCCATCCTGGGCCTGCAGACGGTTGAGAGTCCAGGGTTTGATGTAGGTTCGCGCTTCGTAGCAAACGCAAGCCTACCTCAAGCCTAAGTTGACGAGGGCGACGCAAAGAACCCGCCGCCTGAAGCTACCACCGGACCGCGCCGCTCAGCTTGATCTGGGCTTGAGGGCTTTGCGAAAAGGGGCCGTGCTACTGCGGGTCCGTTAAGTGGGTTCCAGTATTCAAAGTCTCCCCTTGAAAGGATGCTGGTTTGGAACCCCCCAAACAACCTGAAATGACATCTCGGCTTTGGGGCCTTGGAAACTGGGTTGGGTCGGGGGTTGGTGGCAGCATTCGATGGTTGTCTCAAAGCTGTATTGGTCCATGAGACGTCCTGTGACATCCTCACCGACCTTTCGTTTGAGTCTTCGGGTCCAAAGTCTTGGAAGTTTGATCAGTCTGGGCCTGTATGCATATAGCTGAGTCTAAGAAGTCTAAGAGTCTGCGGCGTTGGTTTTTGTACAGGCCTACGTGGTCAGGTTGCGAAGGTAAGGCCCTCCCTCGTGCACCCTAAAAAGCACCGAGCGACTCAAGACGGGACCACTTCAGCCCTAAACCCTAAACCCTAAACCCTAAACAAACCCTACACCTTAAACCCTAAACCCTAAACCCTTGCTCCGAGGCCGGGTTTTCATGGCCTCTGGCGAGCCTTGCCCGCAGCTTTAAGAGGTTTGGGAGGGGTTTAGGGTTGAGGGTTTAGGGTTTAGGGACTAGGGACTAGGGTTTAGGGTTTAGGGTTTAGGGTTTAGGGCCTGAAAAGCTGGAAGCCCTAAGTCCCCTCCCCCCCTTTGTAGTCTGAGCCCTGAACTCCGAAGCTGCCCGAGCTCGCCTTGCTCCCCCCCCCCCCTCCCTTGGTCGACTGGGGGAGGTCTTTATTGCAAGTTCCGGTAGGTTTGTGGCGACTATCAAGTGGTTGAAGGCAAGTTCAGGTAGGTTTGTGGCTACTATCAAGTTGATCAAGCCTTCTGAAGTGGGCAGTGGTCCTTATGCCATGTGCATTGGCGAGGCCTTGACTTTATCCTTTGCCTGCGGTGCTTTAGCTGCTTCTGGGCTGCATGAAGGTGGTCATGTCAAGTGCAAAGATACGACATAGCACAGAACACCGTTTCCCCTGAAGCTGGAGCCATATCTCCTCTGAGGTGGCCTTCTTTCTGCGCTCGGAGCCAAAGACCGAAGCTGTCATGGCTTCAATGCCGAACGTGGAAGTGGATGACGCGCACAAGTGGATGGAGAATCTCACCAACAAGAAGAGTTTGATCACCCTGACTTCTTAAACCCGAAGATCCTGAAAAAGGATTGTTCTGGATTTGGATCTCGTGATCTCCACCCTGAGGGTCTCTGCATTCTGAGCCCAAGAGGCACTGCTTACATGGGCAGGCGCGAGGGTCGAAGAGGACTCCAAAGACCAGCAAATTAAAGCCAATGGCGAGTTCCCGATATCTTCAGCCCTTGTGTAGTAACCCCCCCTGTAGATTTGGGGTACGTGGTCAAGAACGGAACCCATAATAGCTTTGCGAACTGCAGCGAGTGAAGCGCAGACCGTCATGGCACCGAAGGGGTTCAACCCAGGCCAAGATCTCTCATTGTGTGGTTTCCAACTGTCCCAGGGCTCTTGAAAGCTTAGTCATGAATCCAACAAAGCTCCCCTAAAACCCAACAAAGCCTAACCTGAACCCTAAACCCTAAGGCTCCTAAACCCTAAACCCTGTAAAACCCTAAAACCCCAAACCGCCTCGGAACCAAAGGGATCCGGGCGTGGTGGAGATGCCGACCAAGCGCGATCTTGGGGAGCTTCTGAAAGCCATCCAGGTCCTTCGGGGGGGGGGGGGGTTCAGTCTTCTGAGCTTGCGGGCCGATTAAGCTCAACTATGGACATTTTGAGGTGTCTCCTTTATCGCACCTACCTCGTAGTTGACTGTGCCAACAGGGAGGGGGAGGTTGGGGGGGATCGCCAGAATTGAGACCAGGTAGCTTGTTTTTGGACTCAGGTGAAAAAGATGGATTTAGGCTGTTGGATTCCCGAGCTTTGAGTCTCAGGGTGATAGCGCGTTCTCCGACAGGCACACTATCCGGATGGTGGTGTCTTTGAGCACGCGACTTGGACCAATGTTGGCTGCCAACTTCAAAGCCAAACAAGCTAAACCAAATCACCGGATTCAATCCCAAGCCCTCAACCCTAAGCCCTAAACGCATTATTGGCTTCATCCCACTTCATCCCCCCCCCCCCCCCCCCAACCCCAAGCCCGAAGCCCTTGGCGTTGTGCGATGGCTGGCTCCTTGCTTGGTCGAGTTATGTTTAGGAGCCTGGCATCCCCCGGGCTCCCCTGAGAGGGTGCGGGGATGAGCATCGCAGTCCCATGTTGCAGCTTGAAGTATGGAGGGGCCGGCCCCATTTCTAAACCAGAAGCCCGACTTGACGCTCAGGTGAAGTATCTCGACATTGATGGCAAGGACCCAGACAATCTCAAGTACGACTACAACATGAAGGTCTTCAAGAATGCCACTCGGCACCGACCCCTTTTGTGACGGTTGTTCCTGCGAAGAAGGAAGCTGTTTCAAGTTGCAAAGGACAAACTTCTTTCTGCGCGATACTGTGTTTCCAGACAAGAGGTCCACAACAACTGCCATGCCCTTGGCTTTAAGTGGCCGGACACCTCAACCATGTGCCTGGGGCTTCGGAGGTTTGAGGGTTCCAAAGCTTAAGGATTAGCTTCTTAAGAGCGTGTGGCGGGGTTGGCGACGACATGTCTGTACCAGAAACATGCGAACGTCCTTGTGCAGCCTGGATCCTGTTGCCTTGGAACTATGGCACATGGTTCCGGCCTGGGCCAAGTGTTTAGGCACGCTCTCAGAAGCCTTGTTGCGCATCTTTAATTCCCGCTGAGGCCACGAAGGGCCCGGTGAAAAGGACCGGCGGAGAGCTTGCCGCAGGGTTCAACCAGGATTTCCTTTGCATCGGAGGTTCTTGGGGGGGTGGGGGGGGGGGCTTGCACGACTGACGCCTGGAATGCCCTTACCACAAGAAATCACTAGCATCTATATCATCAGCCCAAAACCCAATGCCAAGCTCCTACCCTGCAAGTCGATGCTCTGAAATAGAGGAACTTTGGAACTCAATCGTATGAAAGGCCACGCCCATGGGTTACCCCCTCGGGACCTTCACGCCAACGTTGAATTTGACACCTGAAGCCTTGAAAGCCTTGAACACCATGCTCTTTGCCCTAAGCCCCCAAAGCCTTCCAACTTTCTTGAGCAGAGCCATTGATTATGCTACCTCCAGGATGCTCCAGGACGCGGACGTGGACGATGTGGGGAAGATCGACGTCGTGCGGCAGATGCTTTGGGCCACTCTGTCGCGCTTGTTTTTGCAGTTGAGTGGAAGGTGTGCCGGAAAAAACTTTGCCAGCTGTGTTCTTTTCTGGGCGTGGGGCTGGCCCTCTAAGCCCAGAGCCCTAGTGTCAAGCTTAGAAACACTGCGTGCCCTGAAGCCCTACAGGCCTGAACCTGACAAAGGCTTCGAAAGTCCGTGTATCTGTCAACCTGGGTAGGTTTTTCAGCTGTGAGCTACTCGCTGCTGCACGGAACTGTCAGTTTGCGGACAACAGCAAGGAAATGTTTGTATCAGAGGCATGGGTCGGAGAGTTGCATTCTGAAAGAAGGCATTTTGCAATTCAAGGGGCTTTACGGTATGGAGCACATTCCAAGAACATAAGCATTCTCTCTGAACTTTTTGGCTTCCCTCTTCAAGTAGGAGACTCCTCTGCACCCAAAATATCGAGAAGCAAACACAACCAACCGAGAGTGCTTCAGCAGGCCTTGTGTGGAATCGACGCCGCCCAGATCATCTCCAGTATCGGGCAGAGACTTCTCTCAAAATGTGTCTAAATACGATTCAAAAGTTTGACCAAATTAAACACATTCACACCTGGCCCCTAAAACCCTAGATCCCAGATCGGAAATCGAGCCTCAGCAGCAACAAATGCGACCTGGGGCTTAGACAAAGGGTAGGGCTCAGAGTTTCAGATTTTACGTTTCGGGCTTAGGGGTGTCCACTGGCAGCTACAGATTCTTAGGCACAAGATAGATGTGGAAGCTATCCGGTCGCTACGCGCAGCTATGCATGGGCATGTCTCGTGATGCAGTATCTGCCGTTTTCCGTTTAGACCCATTCGTACTTTACAGACGGGGTGACACAAGCAGTGACCTGTCCCCCTTTTTGCTTCACGAGGGTGAAAGGGGCCTAGACCAGGGAATGAGGGTGCCTGTTTTGTTTAATTGGGCTAGCATGCAGCACCCTTTCAGAGGGTCAGAGGGTTATGCGACGGTTATGCCCAGACGGCCTCTAGCACAGATATCGACATGAACATTGTCTGCGTAGATGTACGGGCTGTGGAGCATGGAGAAACTGGCGTTCTGTCTCTTTCTGCGCGATCTGCATGCCGTTGTCAAGATTCGACAGACCAAGGATCGTTACGAACATCCGCACCGCTGCTGGGCGAATAGAGAAGTGTAATGCATGCCGACCATTGCGTGCATTATCGTTCTTCATTCGGAGCAGCTGGCCGAGCTTGCATCGCTAAGCGTCCTAAACACAATAAGGCCAACCCCGAAGAAAGCCTCTCCAGGTCCCGCAAGCCTGCAAGAGCCTCCTCAGGTCACGCAAGCCTGCAAGAACCCCTACCCCTGGGACGCCAACCAGCAGGACTTCTGCGCAGGCGTCCTTCTCTCCTTGACAAGTGTCCCAAAGCCTCGGAGCTTCCGACGCGAAACCCCAAAAAGCTCGATTACTTGCGTTTGCAAGAATATACCCTAAATCACCCCCACCGCAACCCCATTCCTGAACTTTGGCGGCTCTTCTTGTGGTGTCGTTAGATGTTTGGGCCGTCGCAGAGAGCGGTTTGGGCATTCTTTGCTGGGACCTAACTGAGTCTAAAGAACTCTTCCGTGGCGCAGAAACACAAGCCGAAACAAGCCGGCCAAGCCTGCACCCTAAACCCGACCTGGCCAGCCATGGTCTCTCTCAACCTGGCAATTTGGGGCTACATCGCCATCTACATCGAAGACATGCGCCTTAGCCTGGGTCATGGAAACGAAGGCTGAGGGCGTTGAGGAGGTGGGCTTAGGCTTATGGGACGATGGCGCTTCTGGTTCAGGGTTCAGGGAAATGACTCTCAGACAGCCTGCTGACAGATGGTAGGGTTTAGGGTTTAGGGTCTGTCTTCGGAATAGCTTCGCCTAGTCCTCCGCAAACCCTACTTTTCCGAGGCAAAAGCCGCAAAAGAAGCTGCACAAAGCAACCCCCGCACTCTACAACCCTCAACCTCCGAGCCCGTGTTTAGGGTACAGGGTGCCGGCTTGTGGTTTAGGGCTTGAAACTGTGGTTCCAAATGGGCCACTGGTTTGGGATTCAGGGCCCTGGCTGAAGTTTAGGACTTAGGTTTAAGGCGGCTTCGGGGTGCTCACGGCGTTTGGGCCATTGGGGCCTTCCCTTGTGTGTGTGATTCGAGGCTGCGGAAATTCCATAGCTTTTTGACCCTAAACCCTAAACCGATTTGGGTTTTGGTGTTTTGGGTCTAGGGGTTCAGGGCATTTAAGGCTTAACCCGGCCCACGAAACGACCAAACGACAGCCAAGGGTCAGTGTTTGCGGCCGCCGGACCGCAAAGAGCCTTTTTATGCTCTGCAGCGTAATTCCCTCGCTAAAGGTTCGACATAGTAGTTCGGACAGGTCACGGGGGCTTTGCGAAGGCTTGCGGTTTTCGATTGGCCTTTGGGAGTGGGGGAAATTGTGTGTGGTTTCTTGATTTTGCCAGGTGGCCGTTGCCTTGCGACTCTTGCGCATTACTCTTACAGTACAGCTTCCTTGAAGCTCCTGAACACCATATTAATCCCAAAGCCCTGATCCAGACCCGCACCGGTGCCGACGTCCGTAAAGTCGTTGAGGGTTGGATCGTCCAGGGTTTGCTCCAGTGTGCCGGCGAATGCACTTTCAGGGCTTCATCCGCGGCCGGGCTGAGGGTGGTGGAGGTCATTGGCTGTTGCGCTTCGAGTTCAGGGGAAAGAGTTCATGCTAGGATCGCGGGATGTTGCAGAATGATGGCAAAACTGGGGGGGGGGGGGGGGGGGGGGGGTGATCCCAAAATCTTAGCCCTGACCCCGAGAGTACCGCATACGGGACCGATGTGCAACTTGGATGGGGTTTGGGGACGTCGAATGCCCGAAAAAGTTCTCTCATCCCAACACCCTGAATTAAATCCCAAAACAGCCCAGGCCCAAACACTCAACCCTTCCAGAATCCCACGAACACCTCTACAAGCCCTTAAAGCTTCACCTCTGCATGGCAGGCCCAACGTTCAATGTCCAAGCTGGCTGTGCCTCTGCTGGTTCTCATAGAGTTAGGTCTGAAGTCAGGCAACTCCCAACCCCCCGTGAACCCCCTCTCAGATCTGCACCCTGAAACTCGCTTCAGATTCCTTGGCATAGCTCTTGCCGAACCCGTACCGGTATCGATGGCTAGGATTTAGGCGCTGTTGGGTTTGTGTCTTGAGATATATCGGCGATGAGTTGGAATGTCTGATGGCATCCCCTAAGAACTCATAATCACAATCTTCATAGTCATACGAACCATGTCTGGGCATGAGCCGAACCATCAAGCTTCATGATTCCATCCCGTTCTTGTTTCATCCTGCGTACTTGTATGTGCCTGTGGGGGCTGTGGCAGTTTAGACCCAAGGTTCGATCGACATCACGGGCCCCTTGGAAGAAATGGCCGCTGCCGGTTTAGGGTTTAGGGACTGTTGAGCACACCAGGACAGGACGCTTGCGTATCCGGTCATTGTCTTATATTGTCTTGAGCTGAAGGGACGGTACACAAATACGAAGCGTGTATCCTGTCCTGCACACGACTGTCTCTGCACACACCCACCCAAGCACCCATCCACGTACCGCCCACACTCTGGCTCTGTGCCAGAGGAATGCCCTGACGTGCCAAGGATTCCTGGCCAACGCTGCTTTGGTGGCGGCAGCTGGAGCTAACATGAAGTGGCTTGGGCATGCTTGCCAGCCTCCGTCTATACAAAGATACTGGTACGGCACCTGACATCCTGCGGGCTCTGTGAACCGAGCCGATTGACGGTGAAGCCCAATGACTGCGTGCGGCATATGAGAGTTGAGTTTTCGAAAGAGTCCGGCCGAAACATCTGAAAAGTGTTCAAGTGTAAGCTCGGATTGAAGCACCATGGCTTGGAGGGCCGTTTAACCTTTCGAAAACCTTGGCAAGCCCGCTGCACTTGCCAGGTCGAACTGCCTTCCAAAGCACGGGTACTGGGTGCCTTGGCTCTATGCCCTAATGTTGGACCTGCTTTAATAATGTACCCCCCCCCCCCCCCCCCCCAAACAGTCGCGACCCTGAATAAAAAAAGACCCCAAGCAGTCAGGCAGGGGAGGGGTCCGGAGCCCGGAGGCCTCCCTAAGCTACCCCCCGACCCTGGAAAGGTCGAAGATTCAGGCTTCAAGTATCCCGCCTTC